GCGCATTGAGCAAAATATTACTAATGCACGTTTATTCAAAGCAATAAAATAACATGACTATCTGTGGAAAAAGTGCAGAATGTTTAAAATAATGTTAATAAACTGAATAAAATTAAGTTGCTTAAACAATTATAAAAATAAAAAACAGCATCGTGTATGTATGCATTGTTTAATACAAAGGGCGAAAGCCAATCACACAGAGTACATTTTTCATTTAAAAAAACATGAGATGCAGTGGGATGGGAATAAACAATTATAAAAATAAAAAACAGCATCGTGTATGTATGCATTATTTAATACAAAGGGCGAAAGCCAATCACACAGAGTACATTTTTCATTTAAAAAAACATGAGATGCAGTGGGATGGGAAAAAACCCACCATAAAGTCTCAAGACATGTTTTTTAAAAGTTGAACTTACATTTAGTTTACATGGCTTTCTAAACATGCGGCTCTCTTGTGTGAGATAACACAAGTGATAGATGTCCCTCTAGAAAATGCGCAAAATATGCATTCTGTGTGAATGGCTTGGTTTCAGTTTTGACGTAAACAAGATCTTCTCTGCATCAATGTTCTCTCTTTCCCTAAATATTTTGAATGAACAACACAGCAGTGCCGCATCTAGCGGGTTCAACTGGATAGGCTAACAAAAACATTCAAATGTAACGACACTTAAATCATCTGTTAAGGCTGCCTGATGCACACTTAAAATTTGAATGCACTGTTTTTCCATTCGAATGGGGATTTTTATTTTAAATTCAACGAATATTCACAATTCTAATTTTTATTTGACAGCCCTAGAGCATATATTCCCAAACTTGCATAAAAATATGTGGATAAAAAACATTTTAGTGTTGCTATGTCTTTTGAAACTCCAGCAGAAGCCTCCATTTGAGACAAAGCATCTGAGAAGTTAAGATCTCATTTGTGATTGTTCTTTTTTACAGGTATGCTCATTTCTCTATCAAGGGAGGTTTGTAGTTACTTGAGCAACTAAATGTCTAATTGCATCTTGGCATTGAATATCAATAGATGCATTATGCTTAATCTCATCTAATCTCATTTATTACGATTTTGTGAGCATCGTTACCTTTATCAGAGCTACAATGGGGGCCATTTCAACATTATAATATCTTCAAAAACAGCACCTGCGAGTCCGGCCTGCAATAAGGTCTCCCTATTAGTCACGTAACAAAAAAGGCATTCTCCTGTGTTTATCATTTTCCCTGCTATACGAAAGATGCATATCGCACAAGGGCACGATATCATCCAAGCGCTTAGGGAGAAAGGAATGTATCAGCTCAAAATAATCATTCTCTCACAGTCTGGGTGACATTCAATTTGATTCAAAGCACTCGAGTCATGTTAATATCTCTGCACATTGCAAGCACTGATGTAAGCCACTTCATAACAGAGGAGCCATTCAGAGCCACTGAATGCCAAGTGATGATTTGAGAAGCACAAAAGAAGCTCAGCACTATTTAATTACACAGTACACAGGAGCAGAATGCCTGTGGAAACTGACATCCTAACAGATTTCAATGGCTCTTGAGGTCAAAAGTTTACTCTAGGGCTGTTTGCATGTTGGCACATCTTTGAAGGTTCCAACACGTGTATATAATTTCATCGGTGAAAACACAACCGCTCTCATCTTTGGCTCTCAGAACCGTGCTTTCATTAAATGTAATTACACAATCCATCAAGCAGCCGCCATTTCAACACCATCTCCCATTCTCATTAAACATATGCCTTAAATTAAAAATAAGGGTACAGAATCTTAGTGTTGACGTGTGGTTTTGATGAAGTTGGAGAATGTGTTGCCTCAATGTTAATTTTGTCCGCTCTTATGAAACGGATCAGCAGGTGTGACTGAGGAATCTCCAGACGTCGGTGCTCTGGCCCTCCTCTGCTGTTCTCCATCCAGCCTCATAATACCGCAGCGTGGCCAAGAGGAGGAGCGCGGAAATGGAAACGCTGCTAGATGAGTGTAATGAGGTGCACCTGGTGCTTACTGCCTCATCACTGCGTCTCAAACTGTGATTTTTCATCATGAAAGAGATTCCAGCAATGAATGCATGAAGTGATCCTAGACCCCTAGGTAGGGTTGCAGCAGCCATTCATAAGTTCTTAAGGGATAAACTGAAACCAAAAATGGACCCTAAAATGAAAATTCAGGCATCAGCAACAAACAGTTGCTGGTAGCCACTGACTTCCATAGTATGGAAAAATACTACATAAGTCAATGGCTACCAGGAACTGTTTGGTTACCAACATTCTTCAAAATATATTATTTTGTGTTCAACAGAAAAAAGAAACTCATACAGGTTTGGAACAACATGAGAATGAGTAAATGATGATAGAATTTTTTATTTTGGGTGAACTATCCTTTTAAATTTGAACAAAGTCCACACTTGAGGCTTAGTAATTACTAGCTAGTTTGCAACTAACTCTGCACTTTATTCGGTGGCAGTGGCACCATTTGTTCTTAAGGCAGAAGGTAGCTAGTAGGTTGAAAGCTCTTCGTAATGCATAGTCACATTATATGATGTGTACTCTCAATGATCCAATAGCATCCTTCAAAGTTTGGGCAAAAGTTATGCTGAAATGCCGTAAATTTCCATTCATCCTTGATTCAAACTTATTTTGCCTCACTTCACAAATGGTAAAAATATGTTTCTATTGAAGTATGATACTACTAAATCATGAATGACATAATAGCTATTTTTATATGTAAACAACATTCAGAAACATTATATGATGCAAAAACATGAGAAATTACATTTAGTTATGTTTGTTCACTGTATTAAAATGTAAATGTCAAAACTATCATATGTTTAAGGGATTGAATTCTGTCAGGTAAACAAGAGCTTATTGATGGGATTCAGTCAACCTGCTTTTTCATTCCAACCTGGTCGGAGGTTTCCATAAATATTTCATTTATACGTAGAGTTACATTTCAACTAAGTTTAATTGGTTCAATCCAAAACTACCGGTATTTAGTAGTGTGGAAGTTGTAATGTCAAAAATATGCTGAGCTGTAACTTACACACAACTGGTGCAACTGGCCCTGGACCTACTGGACTGATCTCATCCCCAATTTCCTGCACAACGAGGAACTCACATCCCGTTTTCATCTTTTGGCCTAATTTTCACTAACTCGTACATGGGCCCGGCCCCCTCCCTTTGTTTGTTTTATTATTTTGTCACAGTTTTAAAAGCCTTTCTGAGGCATGTCACTGCTAATCCCATTGTGGATGTGTTCGCTTCCCATCACCCTGGCTAATTAGAGATCTACTCATCTGGTGTTAATGGGAGATTAGTCCACAAATTAGGACTTCTGTAAGCTTATCCTCAGGAAGGCAAGACCAGTACAAGTCCACAAATATATTAATTAGAGAAATGGCAAGATTTCTTTTCCATTTATGATATTTCCCCGACTCATTCACTGTCATAAGTGAAAAAGTGTACCTTTAGGGGTACAACAACTTGTCACTTGGGCACAACTTTGTACCTTATCTACACCTAAAATGTGCATGTTAGTACCTTATGGATCGTTTCCACCGAGCGGTACAGTTTAGTACAGTATGTAATTTTTTTCAGAAGTTGTGAATTGTACCAAAATAGCGAACCGTACCGTACCACTTTTTTGGGACCCTTCCTTTGGGGTAAATAGCACAGACCTAAAGGGTGGAGCTAGACTCACTGCAGAACGTTGACTGGTTGACAGAGAATCGTCACTTGCGCGTACTACAATGGGAATGACAACACAAGGGGATAGAAAGTGTTCCACCATGCTGCTTTTTTTTTGCAGCTTTTGTACCTTTTTTTTCCTGAGTGTGTTGATGTCTTAAAATTTTGTTCAATGTGCTATTTTAATGTGTTGCATTTTAAAATTGTATTACACTAATTGATCCACAGAAAAATTAAAGGGATCATGTCATGAGTAATTAAACTTTCTCTGATCAAATGAATTCATGATACTATGAAAAATAACAATGTAAGAACCCAAAAATCCCCCCCTGGAGAAATTTAAGCTTAAAAAATTTTTATTCAGAAACACCAAGGGTTGTTGGCTGGTTAGCATGGATCAGCAAAAAGCCAAATTCTAATTCTAAGTGAAGGTGAAAAATGGTCATAAAAAGATATATTATTACCGTTTAGAGCAAAATACTTCATTCTAATTTCTAACATTATGTGGACCTTGGGGGAAAACAACAATAATGAAAAAACAATGAATATCCTCGTTTTAAAATCACATATTAAACCCTTTATCAACTTTTTTGGCGTTTTGTCCATATTTTCGACTTGGAACGACATACACAAATTTCTATTCCTCTCATGGAAACCAGCCACTTTGGCGGAACAGTTTTGGAAAATTGCCATGTTCTCTTGGTGAAATGTTAGCTGGCTTAGAGACTGACCACACATCTGCCGACACAAAAGTAAAAGCATAGTAGCCTGGAGGAGATCCCTCAGTGGAATTCCCTTTTTTTTTTGTCCGCCATGCCTCACATCAGAGAGATTTTAACTACATTACTTCCTCGAGCCATGTGTGCCGATGGCAACCTGAGTGTACTACTCGGTGATGCACTAATACAGAGATTAGAGATATCAATGGATATTGCAAACAGGGGGGGGGGGTAGGCTTAGAATAACCGAACACTGACTTACTGTTAAAATCACAGTGTTAACACACTAAACACGCCCTTGGGTCTGCTTAAAACAGAATTTTCTTTGGAAATCTGACACATTTTTCCAGTTTTTATCAATATTGGGATTACATTTCTAGCCCAGCTTTGCCAACCATTTGATATAAGATATTAGTATTTATTTACGTCACAGAGGATGTAATTAGCGCAAATATGTGGCATGAATTCTTCAAGTATGTGAACCCTCTCATGTAAACACTGCATTTTGAGGGAAAAAGAGAATTGTTAATGATTATGCAAATGAATAATCACATTGCAGGTTTTATGAAGCAGATATTGGCTATGGCACAAACCTGCACGAGGTTCCACCCCTCTAACGATTCAGCGATGATCGAAGTCACTGACGGACACACTCCTCCAAAGATCATCAAATGTTTCGGACCGTAGCAGATTGCATCAAAGAAGGCCCGCAATCCCTTTGCGTTGTCACACTAAGGAGAGAAAAAGGGAGGTAAAGTAAGTCAGAAAAGTCCATAAATATACATAGAATGGTAATATCAATCATAATGACATCAGCAGGTATACTTGCTTTCAATTCATTCACTAAGAAAGTGGGTTTCAACCTTGAGAGATTTTCTTGATTTATATTCCTCATGTAGAAACATACAGCACAACCAAAAATTCAATGCATGTTTCTTTCATATTATGCTGTAATGGAAGAGTGTAAATGGGGAAAAAAAAATAGAACTCAAATTTCCGAATGTGAAAACATGTCTGATGTACAGGAGAGCCCGACTGCTGCGGCAATATGCACCCATTTCATATCACTATGGCAACGCTCTTGGCTCTGTAGAAGTGCTGAAGGAAAGAAAAGATATAGCAGGGCTATTGATTGTGATGTGAGCCTCTAACCGTTTTATCTTTGATTTTCTGATGCTGGTAATGATATTTCAGTCCCTGGTAAACACTTCCGGAGGTCAATTAACAGTAGTCAGCTTGACCTGACTCAATCCTGGCCATAACCAGAAATGTCTCAACATTGCACAGTGACCTGGTCAAGAATTTCCTCTTGCCTTTTGCCCTCGCTTGCTTAAGTGTCTTCTTGTCTTGTTTTAACCAAAGAACACATTTAGTTTTGAGATTTAATACAGCAATAGAAGTTTAGTGTTATTATTAAATAAATAAATGAAAACTTCTAAAACATTTTGGTTAGGGGCAAAAAAAATGTGTGGGGATTTATTAGGAGACCCCAATCAATCAATCAAGTATATATATATATATATATATATATATATATATGTGTGTGTGTATGTATGTGTGTGTGGTTCCTGTCTGCCGTGCTGCTGATTGGTTTGCGATTGAAGCTCCGTGTAGCTCTGTTGTGGAATCTCTCTCTTACTTTCACTCTCTGTTGTTTAAACTGCTAAAATATAACTTAATTCTCACCATTTTTCTGATATTATCAATCAAACTAATTTGACATTGTTCGCTTTTTAATCTAAACTGCTAGTGCAATGCATTAGCATTCCGTTAGCTTGTCATACCGTTTCTTTTTTCTCTCTCACTCCGCTTTTCACGTGTTCATCAAACAACAGTGGTAAGTCGGAATTATTCAACAATCATGGTAAGTAATGGTTTCTTCTCCTGTTATTCTCACGTGCACTGTATGCCACATGTATAGTGTAGCCTTCTCTGTCAGCGGCGAGGGATTCACATGTGATAAATGAAAGGAAACATAAAAAGAGGAGAAGATTTCAGAACTGGAGACACTCATCCAAACTTTAATTGAGGATAGTAAGAATGCGAGGGCCTTAGATACGTCTTTGGATGCGACTAGCTAAGTGAGTCCTGTTCATTGTTTGGTAACTCCTTGTTACAAATATAGTAGAACATCACTTCTACAACAAAATACTGTTTTGTAAATAACCTTCCCAATTTGTCTCAATTCCTCAACATATCTTGTAGCTCAGAAAAACTCATGATGCTCTTGATGGTGTAACAGAAACTATGGACTTTTCTAGCACTTTAGACACAGTCGCTCCTTTACGCTTAAGAAGATTAAGGACAACAGTCTGATACTATGGTATAACGAGCACACTTGAGCCCTAAAGAGAACAGCCCGGAAAATGGAGTGCAGCTGGAAGAAAACAAAACTAGAGGTGTTTCGTATTGTATGGAGGGAAAGCACTTCTACATACAGAAAAGCATTAAAAACTGCTATATCTGCTTACTTTGTCTCTTTTAGAAGAAAAACACAACCCCAGGTATTTTTTCAATACAGTGACTAAATTAACAAAAAAATAAAGCATCAGCAGGCACAGACATTTCCCAACAGCACAGCAGTAATGACTTTATGAACTACTTTACTTCCAAGATCGATACTATTTAAGATAAAAAATTATAACCATGCGGCCGTCAGCTACAGTATTGCATCAGACAGTGCACTATAGATTCCCTGAGGAAAAATTCCACTCATTCTCTGCCATAGGACAGGAAGAACTGTAATACTTAGTAAAACAAGGAATGCAAGTAAAACTTGTTAAATCATCTAAACCAACAACATGCATGTAAGATCGTATACCATCTAAGCTACTAAAAGAGGTGCTTCCAGAAGTCATAGATCTTCTTCTGAATATCATTAATTCAACTTTGTCATTAGGATATGTCCCAATAACCTTCAAACTGGCTGTTATTAAGCCTCTCATTTAAAACACACAAATTAATCCTGGAGAATTAGTTAATTACAGACCGATCTCAAATCTCCCTTTTCTGTCAAAGATACTAGAAAAAGTAGTCTCCTCACAACTATTTTCTTTCTTAGAAAAAAATGGTTTCTGTGAGGATTTCCAGTCAGGATTTAGACTGTATCATAGCACTAGGGCTGGGCGATATGTCAAAAATATCTTATTGATAATCGCCTTTAAAAATATCACAATATCCAATGATATCATCTACCTAAGCCTAGGGCTGTGCAAAAAAATATTTTTTCATGCGCATCTCGTCTGTAAAGCGGCTTCTGGTGATTAGTATTAAATCTCCAGCACGTGCTTTCAGATGGAGCGGCATTTACTACACAGAGCCGTAGTTCACTGACAAGCTACACAAAATCACATTCAAAATCGGCAATGAATTGCCTGCGATTTTGAACGCGATTTTGTGTAGCTTAAGTGAACATAAACAAAGAGAACAACTTACTAGGTTTATCTTGTAATTTTTTTTCCCGATAATGTCGATAATCATCTGTTACCTGACTTTTTACGTCGCAATACTTACGAGACATCGTCGATATACGATGACCTGCTCTTATCATCATTATCGATCATGGTTGTATCTCTCTGTTAGTGCTACGTTCAAAACTATTGACCAAAACATTCTTTTGAATAGACTAGAAAATTATGTTGGCATGAGTGGAATTGCACTGGCATGGTTAAAAAAAAATAATAATAATCATATCGTTCACAAATGCAGTATGGAGAACCACAAGGCTCAGTACGAGGACTGTTGCTTTTCACGCTTTACATGCTACCCTTGGGATATATCATCAGGAAACATGGTGTTAGCTTTCACTGTTATGCTGTTGATGCTCAGCTCTATATTTCTTCACAGCACGATGAAACATACCAGTTTGCAAAACTTTCAGAATGCATAGCTGATATAAAAAAAATTGGATGACTAGTAATTTCCTACTGCTAAATTCTGAAAAAGCAGAGGTGTTAATTATCGGACCAAAAACTTCTGCATGTAATGGCCTAGAACACTGTCTAACACTTGATGGCTATGCTGTCAATTCTTCATCATCAGTTAGGAACCTAGGTGTGCTATCTAGTTCATATCCAGTCCAGATGGTGGATCAGCACCTAGAGACGACCTCCACAGCCCTGAATGTCAGCAGAGACCATGTCAACTAGACAAATCCTAGAGACAGATCCCCTGTGAAGAACTCGCCGGCCATCAGCACAAGACCACGAGAACCAGATGAGTCCTCTGCTCAGTCTGACATGCGTTGCAGCCTGGAATTTAACCTCACAATGCTGGTTTCATCTGGCCGGAGGAGAACTGGCCTCCCGACTAAGCCTGGATTCTCCCAAGGTTTTTTTCTCAAGTTTTGGTTCATTGCCACTGTCGCCTTTGGCTTGCTTAGTTGGAGACACAATTTCTGGGAAGCGCTTACGAGGTGCTGGCACTGGAGGGAGCTCTGGAGGAGCAGGCACAGCAAGGCGCTTTTGAGGAGCGGGTACTGGAGCAAACTTATGGGCTGGAGCCAACACTGGAGTGAGCTCTGGGCGGGAGTGAGCCACGACCGACGGGCTTGACTTGGGAATGGCCAGCGGGCTTGCCACAGAAACGGCCGGCGGGCTTGCCACAGAATCTTCGGAACTAGACTTTGGAACGGCTGGTGGGCTGGACTTCGGTGCGGCCAGCGCGCTAGACTTCGGAACGGCCGGCGGGCTGGAGAAAGCCGCAGCCGGTGGGCTTGACCGAGGAATGGCCGGCGGAGGAGTCCCGGATCAGGATCGGAGGCTCTCCAGACACCGGATGACTGCCTCCTTCCAGTCAAGGTTGGTGGTGTCTAATTGGTAAGTAATCCCGATCCGGAACAGTGTCACGAGGGTTTCCCCCCCGAGGGAGCTGGTGAGGGCAAGCGGCACGAACAGGGTCGGGGCTCGCCTGAGCCACGGTGATGTACATCGCTCGTTCCTCCATAATCTTGGGGGGAAAACCAACGGAAAACAAAAACACTTTGAAAAACCGGAAAATAAACACGAGGAGAAGAGGAGCCGCTCACTATCAGTTAAGGTCTGCTGTTCTGTCACAGTCACTCTGGGAGGAGGGAACGAGGAGACGCAGGAGAATATTGCAACATGGAATCAGCAACGGGGAAAACACAAGAACTCACAGAAGACATTTAACAGACAGAAAACACTGGGAAAAACAGGGTTTAAATGCTCAGAAACTAATGGGACACACCTGGGAACAATACGAACAAAACGGGGAACACCTGGACTCAAATAATAACAAATGAGGACAGGACACAGGAAGAACCAAAAAAGGGCAAACAGGAACATACACGTGACAGATATATTATATATATAATTATTATTAATATTACTATTACTATAATAAACATGAACATACATTTAAATATATCAATTGATCTAATAAAAAAATAGTATATAGGCATATATATATATATACACTATTATTAATAGTATTATAAACATGAACATTTAAATATATCTATGTTTGTGCTTATATAAATAAATATAAATATAGATACACATACATTAATTTTAATAAACCAAGCAAAATATCATCTGACAGCTGGAAATGAGCAGCTTTGATATGATGATAACTACTTAGTTGTTCCAAAGGGGGGGAAAAATTAAAAGATTTGGAGTGACATAAAATAACTGATGACTGAATTTTTAGTTGAAAAAAAGCAACATTAGACTTGCCAAATTTAGGGACTTTAGCAAACACTTTTTACTTA